CACAATTGAGCAAAATATTTTTCACTTTTAGCCTTCGCCTTAATTGTTGACATATTGGTTGACTTTCTCCTGAGAGCATGAATATGTTTGTTTGGTTGGTTTGACCAATTCTCAAGCACAGTTTATTCTCTTCTTGTCTATGGAATAGAATGTCTCGAAAGTGAAATTTTTGGCTTCAATTTTGTATTTGTTCTCTTCCATTCAGTTTGTCATAAATTCATAATGTATATTCCTGTCAAATAGGGATATTACAAACATCAGGTGTTTCGGTAGCACGTTTGGCTGCCTAACCTACTAGTTCAGCAGTCGTGATTCCTTGGTAAGTTGCTTGTAGGATAGCGTATAATTCGGCTGTGAAAATATTTGTTTGGGTCGGTTATCTCCAACTGTGAGTCGAATCTCGGGTAGTGTTTTAGATTTTTGTTCAATCAGTGTCAATAACTATGAATCCAATGTACGTCTGGAGGAGTTTCTTGAATTCTGGCTCTTGGACATCATGATTATCATCTTTTGCAATATGGCTGAATGGTAGATTCACTCTTAGTTTTTCTAATTTCTCCAGGGTTGTACATATAAATCGTTGGGAGTGTATACTGAGTAAATTTCAGTATTGCTTTGAACTTCACTTGAACTGGGCTTGTTATAGTGGATCGATCTTCGTAAACGTCATCAGTGTCTTTATTGAATGTTGGGTAATCAGGGTGATTACGCTGTTCTAAAATGTTAATAGCGTTGTTCGAAAAGAGTTGTTGTCTCCTATATTTCAGAAGAAAAATTCCTGTTTCGGCAGAAAATGATGAATAGGGGCTGGTTCTGAAAACCCCCACTATCGGTCTCATGCTGTACTTTGTATTGAGTCCAGCCTTTCCAATCTGGAATTTTGTGATGAGCCATGTATCATGAAGCCATAGTCTGTTTTCGAAAGGATTATAGATGTATTTTTTCAACAACGAAACACAAACACTACAGGAAAATCATTAAGGCAATCTAAGAGTGGTGCCTGTGCGAAATTAGAGATTAAATCCATTTGGAAAAACGTTTTAAGGAAGTTTATTCCACTCGAGCACAGTTCTCCAACTGAAAGAGTTCATAAACAGTGAAGTTCGAGGTGAACTGAGTTGAACCTCAACTCCCGTGAAAATATCTATAGAAGAGAGGAAAATCTCCAACCTTTCTTCGATGTTCCAGACTATCAAGATTGCAAGTAATGTTCGCGTCTCCAATCAGGCGGATGGCTCTTTTCTGGATAGAATCTAGCAGCTTCAGGGTATACATTTCAAAGAACACTTCTCTATCACTTTCTCAACAAATATGTGCCAGAGCTCTTATCAAATTTGAGTAACAGGTCGTCAATATGTGAAGCCCACATTAATTTTGTATCGAAGATAATACATAATAAGAGGCTTGTATTTTCTGTGCATTGCAGAGGTTCACCATCCCGTTCAAGTATTGGTTCTTGGTGGAATTTCCTCAGTCTGCAGAAATGACATAACCTCATTCCTAGTAGTTCTGCCTGTTTCGAGAGTTTGTCGAGTGTTCTTTGTTAGGTTGTCTTAGTTTCTTCTATTGATGGAGCTGGGTAAAAATTTGTCAGATCATCATCATATAAGCTTTATCCTATCTTCTCGTTGATATTATCAAGCAGGGGTTTTATAGCTATTGTGAAAAAAAGAACGGTCAGTGTAGAACCTTGTGGAACCCCGTTCTCAAGAACATATTTATTGAATGAAAGATCTTCATGTCGGGTTGGAATGAAATGTTTTGTTTCAGAAAATTTTGAATGAATTTGGACATGTTCCCTTTCAAGTTCCACCTATCTGACTGCTATAGAATTGAGTAGCTCCATGTATCAAAGACTTTCTTGGAAAATAAAGATATGGCAGTAATGTGGGATTCATTAGCGAAGCTGTTCTGGATGCTATTCTTAAATAAGAATGCTTGGTCAATAGTGGATCTATGATTTCAAAATCCTTCTTGTGCATTGGGTGAGCGTTTTTTCGATTCAAGATACAAACGCAGTATATAACTCACAATTCTCTCTACTCATGCAGCTCATGAGTGAGATAGGTCGATAGCTGTGAATATCGTTTGGGTCTTAACCATTTTTCACAACTGGAATTATATTTGCCTCTTGCCATTTTTCTGGGTAACTGCTGGTTTGCCAAATTTTGTTGAATAGATCAATGATACTATGTGGGCCTACTACATAGATGGTGCTAGTCTTTCTTCCTTTTGCATTCACAGTTGGGACTGACCTTCAGAAGAAAGATGTTGAAATTTCGTCGAAATTTCACACTGCTTCTTGATAGAAAAAAAATAACGTTCAAGAAAAGCAATGGCTTGAAAAGTGTTACAAGGACCCCGCTCTATTAGAAACATCAATTAAATGTTGGTATGCTGACGTTAAACGTGATCATAGAGACGCCGATGATGCACAAAAACTACACCTCACGATTTGGTGATCAAATCGTGAGGTGTAGTTTTTGAAATTACTATGGATCTTCATCAAGTAACGGCCAAATCAATCAGAAAAATTCACAAAATAGTTTTGAATGATCGAAAAGTGAAGTTGTGTTAGTTAACTGACACAGTAAGGATATCAGAAAAATGTGTTTGACTATGAGAAAGCTCTGTTCAAAGTGGGCGACGCGCGAGGACACTGTTGACAAACTTCTTGACGATTTTGAGCAGTGTTTGGCCATGTTTAAACATAACAAACCGGAATTTTTGCGTCGTTATATGATGATGGATGAAACTAGGATTCGTCACTCCACTCCGGAATCAAAACGATCGTCATCTGAGTGAAGAAAAACTGCTGAACCTCATCCAAAGCACAACAATCGGCTGGAGAGGTTATGGCCTCCGAAGTTTGGGATTTGCGTGGTGTAATATTCATCGAATATCTTGAGAAGAGGAATACCATCAACAGTGAATATTATATAGCTTTATTGAAGCGTTTGAAGACCAAAATTGCGAAAAAAACGACCCCATTTGAAGAAAAAGAAAGTGCTGCTTCATCAAAACAAAACACAGTGTCACAAATCAATGAAAACGATGACAAAATTGCATGAAATGGGCCCCAAATTGCTTCCGGATATGGCAAAATCTCACTCAAATGAGCGGAACTGAGACCTATTCTGAGGCAAAGATCAATCGTTCCACAAAAGTGGGATTGAAATTTTGGAGCGGCGCTGGAATGATTGTTTGGCTCTTGACGGACAAAATATTTTTTTTAAGGCCCGGGACGTTTCAGCCCAGGTGGTAATATACTTGGGTTCTTTTGGAAGTTGTTTGATGAAATCATACGTGATTTCGTTGCTCCCAGATGCAGAGGTTTTGGTATTTTTCAATGCTGATTCAAACTCGAGAAAAGTAAACGAAATGTTATATTCTAGACTTCCTCCTCCAGTAAAATATCTGTGTCTCTCTGAGGTTGTTCTTATTGTCTCCAGAACTGGGTCTAGATTTGGGGTGCTGCTTGTTGCAGCAAAATGTTCTGCAATTCTTTTGTTAATTTCTTGTGGATCTGTGAGGAGTTGACCATTATCTTCGAGAACTTGAGATACATCCGTAAACTTTTTACCCATTACGGTGATGATTTTATTCCATATCTCTGAAGTAGAAGTATATGCAGTTAGGAAGATTTTTTTACCCTCGCGTATAATACATCTTCCTAGGGCTCTAGCACGTACAAAAAATATCATGTTCTACTCAGTGTGTGTCGTTTAAAGATGTTCATGGCATATTTTTTCTCAGCTGTGAGGACAGCTATTTCTTTATTCCACCAAGAAACTTTTCTGGTTCGATTTGTACCACATGACTGAGGAATTGTTCTTTGAGCTGCATTCAAAAAGTAGTGCTGAGCTTCTCGACCGCAGCATCTATATTGTCAAGGTTAACTTTTCTCAAATTTTTCAATTCTGCTCTGTATGAATCCCAGTTAGCTTTATTCAAAACCCACCACTCTCAGGAAGATGATGTGACTTTTTCATTGAGACACTCCTTACTTATAGAGAAATGATCCTTCATATCATCATCAAGGCAGTACCATCTGAACAAAGGAGCAAAATTTGATCAGCATAATGCAAGGTCTATCGCTGATGAGGAGCGAGATCTAAGATTATGGAAAGCTCCAGAAAATTAAGTTTTCACAAAGGGCCATGGTTGAGTATCATATGCCCTGGCGTGACTCGTAGGATCATTAATATGACTTTTCAACACTACAACCGACCTGATCCCTATGGAAAAAATATGGGAAAATAAAAAATGAAGTAGAAATCCGTAATTTCTCATTCATTGGCTAATGTGTGAAAGCTAGCAGATGAAAAATTTCTAAAAGTAACAACACAAAACTGATAAAACATTCGCAAACACATAGTGAAGATTGGAGAAGGGCAGAACTTTCTGACAAGGAAACAGAATACGATGAGTCAGATTGCCTACTATCACAAAAATTTTATTGTAAACGCCGTTATGATGAAATTGTGTGATTTTGACTCTTTTTGTTATTACCTGCATGTAATTTCCTCATTAACCTATTGAAAATTCATATACCAAACCAATCCTCAACATGGCCAGTGTGAACATCATCTGGACTATTGCAATTCCATTAATCGACTAGTTGAATCAATATTTTCAGTTTTCTTTTCAATCATTTTTTGTTTCTTACTGTAGAAGCGACTCGCAGATATTTTTAAGGTCACAAACGGTGAAGAATTTAAATACCTCTACAGATCGAATTTGTGGACGTTCTAGTGATTTTATCTTGACCCTCTTAATGAATTTTCGAACAAATGGGCTTTTTCCTCGGTTCATCTTGTTATAATATTCAGGGCTAGTGAATATTCGAAATGTCAGGTAAAGGAACGAAATAGCTTCATCCTGAAATGGAATTTCAGTTAAATGCTTTTTCAATTGAGTCACTACATGAAAGGCCACTACTCGTCTCCAAAAGACCAACAACAATATCTCACCATCAATGCCAAATAATATTTTTTCATTAACACATTTTTTCCTTCAGAATCCTTGAGAAAATACATGAGGAAGAAGTGATTTGACTTTCGGTTATATTGGGGGTAGATGACATATTGAGATACCCATATCATCCAGAAGAAGTCAAAATGATGAAAGTGAGCGTAAGAGCAATTTTGATTGCATTAGCAGGTGAGATTTCATCAATGTTATTTATGGCTAACTAATCCTTTAGAAGAAAAAAGAGTTATGTTCAATACATTTCTGTGCAAATCAACTTTTATTCAAATATCTTGAGGTCTCATTCTAGCTGAATGATATAGAAAATTGAAAAAGTTTCCAGTTCAGAGACATTATTATGCCAAAATACGATCTAATTTTCACAATTACCCGATAGTATCCAGATTCAAGTAGCTCTTCAGGGTGGGTTTTATATTACTTTCGAACACGAATATATCTGATAAATTTTCATTTTTTAAGGATGTAACTTATTTGACGGATGTTCATTGTGATGTTACTTTCAATTCATTATCGAAATAATTTCCAATTTTCAGGTAATCTATGGCTGGTGCTTCATTTTCTGGCCATTTATATTTCTCTGAACATCATGTCATTGGAACGAGAAGACTATGTTGTTACCGAAAAGCTGAGTCTGCAGATATATGTTGTTGGAGCGGTGAAGGGAAGTTTATTTTTTTGTGGTCTGGCTCATTATCTAGGGAGAAAAAATTCAATTAGCTCTACTGGATTACCGTTAGCAGTTGGATATTTACTATCGTTCACTGAAAATATTGGAGTTTTCTGTTGTGGAAGATTTTTAATAGGATTCTCATGGGGAGGAACTTTGGCCGTTCTACCCATATATTTCGGGGAAATAGCTACGAAATCGTCCAGAGGAATAATGTTATCAACAATAGTAGTCTCGTTTCAGATTGGCGGAATCTTAAGTATGAATATAAATCGATTTGACAGTCGCATAATACTGAAATGTGTGGTACCCGGACTAGCGGTACTATTTTCGATATTTTTTTTCTTTTTTGGAATGGAGACACCTCATTACTACCTGCTCAAAAACGACAAAATCATTTCAAAATCCGCTTTGGAAAAACTTCGCAACACAACACAAAACGAAATTGAAAAAGAATTCAAAGGGATGCAAGGAGATATTATTCATACAGGAGAAGAAAAAGTGATGGCTTGTTTCAAAGCAAACGGTTGGGTGAAATCCGTCTTCGTTCTTTTGTGTCTCAATTTCCTTCAAAGTCTTTCCGTGGTGAACTTCATGAGAATTCTAGCTACTGAAGTTTTCGACAGAGCTGGTTTCAATATAACTGTACCACAAATGTTCATGATTGTGGGTATGTATTCATGATTATTCGAAAATTATTTCACAGAGATAGTAAGACATAATTGATAATAATCTTTAAAAAACATTGAGTGCCTCACAGTTCTCAACAGTTTTCACGTACATATATTGTAATATGTCTGTATAGCAAAAAATATAGATGTAAATACATATTCAAGTAACACCTCATCGCGAGATTTTTACTGGACTGAATAATCATAAATCTTCACAATAGACACCTAATGTCCATTACGCATTTCACTATATACAACAGATGTTGGACTGGTACTGATTTACAGAAAAGTGTATAAAAATCATTGATATCAATCAAAAGAGGTCGCTGATTGGTAAACAGGTAGTTTACAAAGCAGATGAAATTATTTTGTATTTAGTACTTTGTAGTCCATGTGAAAGCCATGGTTGTTCTCCAAAGATAGCATGCATAGGTTGAATCAATCATTCAAAGAAAACCAATTCAAATTATGCAGGCTATCTGTTGGAGAACATTCACAACTTCGACATAAACAAAACTACAACGTAATACATAAAAAAAATGAAAGACAAAAATTGAACCTGCTGGGATCATTCGAAATCAATGGACGTAAACAATTGAATTTTTCATTGAACGACTAACAAAACGTTGAATTTCACCATTGGTAAATTCATTTTTATGAAAAATTTCCTAGAATCAATCGAATCAGCAGTAAAAATAATAAATAACATTTATAATTATTGTTTGTTATGAATGAAGCAATATGTACTAAAAAATCCACTGAAAAATCTCAGTCGAATGAGATTTTATAACTACAGCTGTTTGTTACAAACTGTAAGCTTCGCGCAAATTAATTTGATAAAATATTTCATTTCAATACATGGTATTTATTTGTAACTAACCTTACTGCAGTTTTGTCCTATACGGACATTTTCAAACTTATACAATAAAGTTTATTGAACAATAAACTTTATTGTATGAGTTTGAATGTTTCATTTCTCTTTTCCTCATTATTCCATTTTAATTGATATGACTGAATGAGTTTCAATGAACCATTCATTCAAAAATTCATGAAGATCATTTTTGAGTTCGCATGATAGTGAAATAATGATTCTGTAGTTAAATAAAAAAAGCTTGCATTTTCTGCACGACTTCAAATAAAACAAATTATTCTATTTCTCGAATCAATGAATCGAAAACAAATAATGAGCTAGTAAATTGATTGATGCAAATGTTACTACGTGGTAGGAGATCATCATGAAAAATGCGAAATGAAACTTTTTATGTTTTTAACCGCTTTCATTTGTAATTATCGTTACTGCAGTTTCGTCCTATATAGACATTTTTAAACTAATACAATAAAACTGAAAATAAATGATACTGTTGGCCCTTATACAACTAAACGCCACTGTAGGTAATAATTGAGTTACAGCACACGCCACGGCTGATGGTGAGCGATCGCGCACGTATAGATTCTCCCAACTAAATTACTATTGGATTACGATAAGCCCCTTGCCGGTCAGTATCGTACATATAATTGGTTCAGATTTAATTCAGTACCATAGGTAGTAGTACAGTTCATTGAAATGTTAAATGATGATACACTTATTCAAAAATGAACTTTAATCAGTTACTATCTGAATACTAATTTTCTTCATCTACGCTGCTGCTTATGCTTGTGCTGCTATCGTCATTTTGAATTATAATCACTGGATTTACCTCTGTTTGAACGTGTGTGAATGTTTCATTTTTCCAATATTTCCACTCTATAATTGCTACATGTTGGCAACGCTTTTGCCATTCCTCGGAAGTGATTTGATCAAACTCGTACTCCGCCAGTTTCCTCACAGCTTCCAACTTGAAAGTTATGTTCTTTTGGGACACGTTTTTTTTTTGACAATAGCCCAGATGAGTTCAGTGGAACTCAGATTCGGATGGTAGGGAGGGATTCGCAAAATGTTTATTCCGTATTCAAGCAGAACCTCATCAACCTCATCTGATATGATGCTTTTATTCACCGTGATCAACTCGTATAATTCGGGACTGAGTATGTTAAAAGTGAACATAATGCTTTTTTCGTGCAGCCACTTCACCATGTCAGCCTTCCTAGAATTTGTGTTGGAGGCTGGATCAATTGAATATTATATGGAGCATTTCATTTCTGAATAATAATCCCCTGATGAGTGTCGGTTCCTTCGCAATATTTCTGAATAACCTTTTGGTTGATTCATCTGTCCAGTTTTTGAAAAATGTATATCCACTATGAATGTATGTTTCATCAAGGAACACAATTGGTCGCTTATGGCTACGAAAATAATTGACTTTTTGTAAATACTTCATCCTCAATGTTTCAATGTCCATTTTCTCTATTGGCCCATCTCCATTTGAAACCTAATCATTTTAATTCAACGAAGAGATGTTTCAAAAGCCACAATTCTCAAAACGTCAATAATTTTGTGAATTTCACTATTTCGGACTTCCATTGTCTACTATATAAAATGATTTGAAATCCCTGAAACAACTAAAAAAGAAGAATTAAAAATGAATAGCTGAAAATAACAAATATATTAAGTAAAATGAACCTGAAATGAAATAATAGTGAAATAAAGTAAAAAGAACAAGTAAAATAGAACAATTGAACAAAAATAATTAAAAATAAAGAAATGAAAAAAGAAAGACGATTGTAGATACTAACAATCGAAACGTCGTGAACTAACGTGACTTGGAATCTCTCAACTTTTTATTTTTATTTTCTTTTTCATTTCTTTATTTTTCTTTATTTCTGTTCAATTGTTCTATTTTACTTGTATTTTATTTCACTATTATTTCATTTCAGGTTTATTTTGCTTAATATAATTGTTATTTTCAGCTATTCATTTTTAATTCTTCTTTTTTTAGTTTAGTTTTAGGGATTTCAAATCATTTTATATAGTAGACAATGGAAGTCCGAACTAGTGAAATTCGTCATGAAACATTGTCAATCACCTTCAAACAAACATTAATAATTTTGTGTTGGAACTTTTTTTAACGTAATACGACACCCTTTCGTTTTATGAAAGTCGTAAATAATCCGTCTCATATTGGAATACTCATACTCGAGAATATCAGTGACTGGTGCTCTTCTAGCAACTATTTTCTTGGGATAAAAAATTTCACTTCTCCTTTATTTGCAGAAATTAATTGCTCCGCATCTTTAACAACGCATTCAATGGTTCTTATGGAAATACCTAGTACAAAATGCATATTTGTGTTGAAATAAAAACTTCAGACACGTTAAAAATCATTTCACGTGTCTGACGCTTGAGTGGTTTTTTGTAAGGCGATGACATTTTTTCAGAAACAACGCAAATTATTCAGGCAATGCCAAACCAACAGCATTGGATGACAAGTAATGGTACGCCTCTGTTCAGTGCATTTGTACGTCTTGCAAGTAATATAGTGGGGGTTACATTGAAAATGAGTTTGTGCGCATGGGGTGAGCTCGCCATCACGTTTGGCGCTTGCTGTACTCAACTCAATTGAGTATCTGACGATTTCAAATAATTGAGTTTTCAACCTTTGCTTGCATAGTGCAAAATTTCCGTATCGTTTAGATTCGGGAACTTGTGGTTGCATTCCAAGGAATGGTTTGAAAACTTCGAATAATTCCACCTATTCTGTTCAGCATACCGTTTTGAGAAATTTCGGCCACATTGTCCCATAAAAACACTATTACACCCCGGATACTTTTGTTTATAAACTCTAGATTTTTTCATCTTGTCCACTTTATCTTTGGCATTGAAAGAAAATAACCTGGCATGAGGTCTGAGTGCCACTTTCACATTGTTTTTTCTGAAAAAAATCAGTCTCTGTTTTTTTCACCAAAATATGTTTTGTGGTTTGTGATTGTTTGATCTGGAGGTATCTGTACGTGAATTCGAGGTTTCTTTTCCTGATCAACTTCTGAATTGTGTCTGCGATAGCCCGTAATAATGGTTTCAACGTGGGTTTGAAAGTGGTTGACAATGTTTCAAGGTGTATTTCATCAGTTCGAACTTCCTTTGTCTAATATAATATAAATTGATTTGAAATCCCTGAAAGAATCTGTAAAAAAATTCAAAAGATTAACCGAAGAATAACAATTTTATTAAACAAAAAACTGAAATTACAAAGAGATGACATACAAGCAACAACCAAAAATCAATTGAAAGGAAGTTGTATCAGACTTTGAAAAACACTAAGTCTATTTTTCTGAAAGAAAGAGATCATTGCTAACACCGCACCACAGTAAGCCCCCTCACTTGTTGGACTACCCAAAATCCATAAAAAGGATGTTTCGCTCAGACCGATCATTAGCTCCAGAGATTCAGCCACTCAGAACTTGTTCAGATTTTGACTACCAATAATTGAACCACTGTATGGTAAAACATTATCTTTCGTGAAAAATTCAAGGTATATCGTTGAACTACTAGGCGAAATCGAAGTCAAAGAGCAGGATCAACTTATCAGTTTCGCCGTGGGAGCCTCTACACTAATGTTCCGGTCGAAGAAGCACTCCAAATCATGCAGAAGAAGCTATCCGAAGATGGGGACCTGAAAGATAGAACAAACTTACCGATACTTACTTACTAGGCTGCTGTGTATGAAACTGCTACTTACAACTGAAAGTCGAATTCTTTACGCAAGATAAGGGACTGCCACAAGAAGCCCCGAGTCTGGTTGAGATACGTAGACGACACCTTCATAATATGGAACCATGGTAATACAGAACTGGACACTTTCCTAAAGCACATCAACAACGTAAGTCCTTACATCAGTTTCACAATGGAGTAGGAAGTCCACAACGAATTGCCTGTCTTAGACGTATTGGTGAAGAGGACCAACACTAAAAGAGACATCTGCATCTCGAAAACCCACTCACACAGGACAGTATCTGAACCAGAAATCCAACCACTATCAATCGAGTAAGAGAGGAATCATCAAGACTCTACTAGACCGTGCTTTCGGGCTCTGTAATACAGAGGAAGGTTTCGAAAAGAAACTAGGCATTATCAAAAATGACCTTCAACGAAATGGTCAATCCAGAGTGATGGTAGAACAGGCTCTAGCTAGAAGGCAGAAAGAGCTCCAACCAGTACTTGTACTTCCTTATATCAGAGGATTATCGAAAAGGATGAGAAGGATTGGGTCCGAGTATAACATCAGGACCTGCTTCAGATTTGGGAACACTATTCGTAGCAGCCTCACAAAAATCAGGCCACCAAACGCTGACTGCGATTCCAAGAATTGCATTTACCGGGTACCCTGCGAATGCGGATAATCATACATCGGTGAAACTAAGAGGCCATTGAAAGTTCGCATTGCTGAGCACAAGAAACACACACAGCGAGGGGAAACCAGCAGATCAGGAATAGCAGAGCATGTTTGGACTCATCAACATAACATCAAGTGGGCTCAAGCTGAAATCATACACGAAGAGGAACACTAATTTAGGAGAAAACTCAAATAAGCCGCTGATATGTTATTCAATAACGCATTCAGTCGAACTAGCGTAGATATATGTAACATAATCAAGCGAAAAACGACCAACTCCCGCCAAACGGTCATCTCCCACTAAAACCAATGAAGCGGAGAGAGGGAAGAGGGGATAGGTGAAAGCACTCGAATGACTTTTAACTAGTCAGATCTCAGAGAGATAAGTCCAGTTATCACCCGAAGATGATTGTGAATACTAACAATCGAAACGTCGTGACGTAACTTTGTTTGGAATCTTTTAATTTTTCATTTTTTGTTAATAATATTTTTTAATTTTCAGCTTGTATTAATATTGAAATTTTCCATTGTTTTGGTTGTTGCTTGTATGTTATTTCTTTGTAATTTCAGTTTTTTGTTCGATAAAATTGAAATTTTTGGTTATTCTTTGTAATTTTTTTATAGATTCATTAAGGGATTTCAAATCAATTTATATTATATTAGACAATGGAAGTCCAGACTGATGAAAGGTTTCAATGTGGCTTTCTTTTTGGGGAAGTGCTTTGAATACAACTATGCGATTTGACGAAAAAAGTTTTGGCATTTTCAATAAATCAACACAATACCAACATATTCATTAGGTGTGAATTTAAAAAACATCTTTCGATATAATATGATTCAATCTCAGCTAGCTAATGACATATCCTAGCTGGTGTATTTTTTTACTCCGCTAATGGTTTTTCCTTTTCTCCTGCTAATTTTCCTTCAATGTGAAAAGCCATCTTTCGTTTGATAACGTTGTCTGATGAGTCTGTGACGAAGTGTTGCCAAATTTCTTCAACAGTTCTTCAATTTGAGACAGACTTTTTGTAAAAATATATACTCTAAATGTAGAGTACTAGCTACATGATTCGAAAATTATTTCAATTGAAGAAAAAAGAAGGATTAGTTTCGTTCTCATTCGTTTCGCCCCTAATATTATATTTTTGTATGGTTGCCATTTTCGAAGCACTGAGGTAGATCCGACAGAATTTATGGTTGTTTGTTGACCAGTATTATAGAACTTTCTCTCCAAAAATTTTTTTTACATATTTCATTCTTATTTTCATGGTGTCTCGTGAAATTAACTCTTCGAGTCTATTTTTCCAGATGAATTTAATCTACAACAAGTCAAATCCAAAGTATATCTCCAATTTGACACAAAATATACTGGACACAACAATGTCTCACTACGGAGACGATGGCAAATAGCGTTGAGACCAACTAAAAAAGCAAAGAAGTTCAGGAAGGATGTGGAAGAACTCGAGAAACTTTGCACAGGTTATTTGAGGTTTTCACGAGAATCAGTTTCAACAGTGCGAGAGTTTTCATTTTGTAATATTGTGTTTACACAATGAATCTCATATTGCCAAATTCGAAATGAAATGGTGCATCACTTATTATATATAACATCAGTGAATACCAATAAAGAAACTTCATTTGTTTTTTCACCACTTTTATTTGTAACACGACATTTTCAAACTAGTACAATTTCCTACCACGTAGTAACGGCTGCATCCATCATTTTATTGAAAAAAATGGTTAAGTTCTCGATGATGGTGGCGACATATCTCTCTGTTTTGTGATAGGCCTCATTTACTCATTTGAATAACGAAGGCATTTTCTGTGAAAGGCACAGTCGAACATTTTGTATTGACGCGACGCTTCATTGGTTATTCCACCTTCCCAAATTGCGTACCATAGAGTAGCAACATTCATGGACTTACGAGGATGTGTGAATTGATTTTTATTTAATGAAAAACTACACCAAATAAAGTTTCACATACATGATTGTTTGGAATTTTCAAAATTTCAAATATTGACTATGATCAGTTTCATCTCTTCACTTCTAAATTTTCAATAATATAGTCAATAACTGGATATAATGATATCAATATCATCAACAATCCTAAATATTTTACAAAGGGCACCAAACTTATTTCAAATGTATTTTGTTATTGCAATTAAATTTGTAATAATGAATATGGAAAAAAATATCAAAATACTGTCTGAGTTTTCGAACCTGAATCGATATTGAATTATCATTAAATTCATCAAATTGCAAGTTATGATACAGTGATTCTGTATGTTTATGTACCAATTGATGATTATCAAGGTGGATAAAATTTCACATATGATTTGAAATAAGCAATAAACTTGTTCGACGTTGATACGATGATTGATTTGGTCTCAACCGAACAGATTGAAATATTTTACAGAAGTTGTTTGATTTTCTCTGATATATC